GGCTACAGTTGTAAATAATGGAACGTTTGTTCACGGCACAGAATTCTACAATTTTTCTGTTATCACAGTTTTAGGGTGAACGCAAAATTTGGTGAACGCGCACCGGGTGAGAATAGCCAGAAGTCACAAGACTCGCCTGCACTATTCTAACTCCGGGTGAGAATAGAGGTGGCCGTCGTGTGTAGGCTATAGAAGATTTAGAGTCTAGATTTAGATCTAGATTCTAGACCTAAATCTAGCCTAGCCCACTATATATACTATACTACTACTATACTAGACTAGATCTAGAATCTAGACAGTCAAGACTAAAAACTAAGACTAAGACACTAGAATCTAGTCACTAGATCTAGATCTAATATCTCTAGATCTATATCTAGATCTAGATCTAGATTATCTAGATTAGATCTAAATATCTAGATGTAGATCTAGATCTAGTACTAGATCTAGAGTCTAGTCTTGTCATCATAGTGATAGAGACAGCACTGCACTGCATACCACCAGTCCAAGCATGCACAAAAGCTTACAGTGACACCAAAAAATGACATACCCTGTAAATAAGTAGAGCGTTTTCGCCCAAGCATTGAGAATGCACGTTGTTGAACAAAGGTTGGGGTGGAGAAAGGGTTTTCGCTCAGCTGTTTTATCTTACGTCAGTGGCCATTGACTCAGCGCCGAGAGAAGGCTCGATATTATTTTGTCAACAAAAAGGGAATGCCAGGTAGTCATACCCACACGATTGAAGTGTTAAATGTTGAATATTTTGTCTAAATGGATCAGTCATCATGAAATATTTGGTCACAATTGAAATTAAGATTTTTTCTTTTTCTTATAAATTCGCTTGCGACACAAATAATGGTTTATTTCCAAACACGATAAAACACAACTGGGTTTATGTTATCGGACCAAACAGTAATGAGAAAACGCCAACGTGGCAACTCATAAAGCTCAAAACAAAGTTTCCTCAGGCCTCTTGCAGTCTGCAGCACACCGCAGAACAACTCGCAAAACGAAACAGAAAATACATTAGTTTCAGTTTCAGTGAAACGCTCAAATAAGTTTTGGTTTAGTAGTAGAACAAATAGGCTTTCGCTAATTCTGTAGTTCTGTATACCTTTGTTCTAGAACTCTTTGCTCTTCTCACCTCTAATAATTGAATTGATCAACCACCAACTCTGCCCACTGGCACCACCCACCTCAAAAGTCAGCAGACCGAGATAAAACGTCTTGTGACAAAAACAGTCAATGGGCTGCTAGTGGACAGTACCTCGGGAAACACCATGGTAACACAGCTATAGTATACCTACAGATTAGAAAGATTGAACTGCGTTCATTAATAAACAAACAGATTATTCAATGTAATACAGAATCAATATTACGAAAACTCCGCAGATACGCCAGGGGACACAAACCATGTTATGAAACATCTGCAAAAGTAATTATGGTATTGTGTCCCTTCTTACATGTTTTCACAAGGGTAGGGGGGTGGGGG